ACCATGCGTCGCGATACTGGAAAGTACCCGAATAGAGGCTGTGACAATACCCTCTGCACAACACAACTCACCACAGTGCACCATTCCTGGATCATAATCACCCCCTTATAAAACAAGGCATGGACTCCCCAGCGACCCCCGTGGGCTTATCTCCGCCACTTCTCAGTCTGGTGCTCCGCAATGAACCATGTAATACAAAAGGTAAAGCCGTTGCCCACGCTGGCTTGTGGTTGGCACGGTTAATGTTTCACAACAGTAGCTCGCGAACCGGTCCTTAATTGCCATGAGCACGACTCTCAAAACCATGTGCTCACAACCCACCATTATCAAGTTTTAGTTGGCAAGTAATTAATTAACCAATCACGATTGACCATCGTGAACTATCATTAAGCCATCATTAAATAATAGTGAGTCATAAGTTATCCTAATAGTGTGCTAATGTTTCTAAGCATGGCTAAGCAATCATAACTAATATCTAACTGAACCAATATATAAAGCCCAACTAGTCAAGTTATAATAACCCAAGGTATCAAGGAATAAAGTAATCAAGAACAAAAGGGCTATAACAAACAATAGGTTAATTCCACCCAATGACATTCGAAAATAAATGCAATAGTTGAATAGAAACAATAGCTTTAAACGGGATCAACATGCTCAAAGGGTTGTTTGGGATCTGTGTGACTTGCCTTGCAATAATCGGTCTTCAATTAATCTTCTGAACACTCCTGACGCACTCACGAACCTTCGCAACGACGGAAACGACAAGCTAACACACAAAACGAAGAAAAAGACTAATAAAACCAAATAAACAGTAAAAAACAAGCATAAACAGTACATGTGGATATTTTTAACATATAGATCATGATTTTAGATGAATTTAGCAACTTGAACCACTCAAAACCGAGTTACGATGATTTAGTTATGAATTTCCGAAGATTTAATCTATTAGAAAAACAGGAAAAAGAAAAACGATGATGACGTCATGATGACCTCATCAATGGCCGGACCAAGATGGCGACCTCGCCGGAGATTGGATGGTCGGCTGCGACTTTGGAGGACATGAACACGTAGAGGACGACGAGACGAACCCAACGGTACTCACGCTCGAACCAAACGACGAACGACGACGGCCGGCGACGAGGTCTAGCGGCGGCGCGGCTTCGGTCGACGGCGGCGACGGGGCTCCGGTGACCGGCGACAGCGGGGTCAGGCGGCCGGGCTTCTCCACCCTCCCGCGCACCTAACGGTGGTGACGGCGACCGGCGGCGACGACGGAGGCGGCGGCGCGACGCGGATGGAGCTCGGCCGGCGACGATGGCGGGGTGGAGCACGTGGCGGCGGCGCTACGAGGCACGGGAGATCACGGGAGAGGGGGCAAACGAAAGAGGAGGACTAGGGGGTCCTATTTATAGCCATGGAAGGCCGGGATCGAGCCCACAACGACGGGAAAAACTCGGGAAAGTTTAGATCTTCGCCGGAAAAAGGAAAGGTTGAACCGCGAAATTGGAAAGGATTTCCATATAAACTTTTGGGGATTTCTTGGGGAAAAGGAAGAGGAGATTGAGAGGATTCCATTCCCACAACTAATTTGGAGAAAGGAGCAACGATGTGGCCGGATTGGTGGGAGGAGGCGGCGGCACTGTGCACGGGCTGGAGAGCTTGGGCTCTGTCTGGAGGTAGAAGAAGGAGCACTGTAGCGACAGGGACAAAAAACAGACTTCTATGCGGGCTGAGAGGAAGGGAGAGAGAAGGGGAGGCAATGGGCTGGATTCGGCCCAAGCTGAGGAGGAGGATTTTTATTACTTTTCCAAATAAATTAACCAATGAGATGATCTTTCAATTGTTAAAAATACTTTCAATGCTCAAACAATTCCAAGAAAAATCTTGAACATACTTAGACACTCAAAGTATTTAATATAATAATATCCAGATCATTTGCTGATTAATTTATTATTTAAATAATTGCTAAATTGTTCTTTGTATTATTAACATTAGGAATTGAGCTCCGAAAATTCCGAGAAAATTTCAGAGAGTATAATTAATCATGGAGAATTTAATACAAATTAAATCCATCCATGCTTTAAATTAAGGAAATTTTATTTCCCACATTTAACTTCACTTGTAAATTAATGAACAGTTAATATAAATTCGATTAATAATTTATTAAATAATTTATAAATCCTGAAACGGAAATTCAGGCTGTGACAACTTTGCATCATTAAAATTAGATATTGAGCTCTAAACATTCACTAGAAATTTCAGAGAGTTCATTAGGGCACAGAGAATATTACAAAATATTTCCGGCCATGATTTTTAAAGGAAAATTTTATTTTCCTCCAGAATTTCACTTGATTAAATTGCTTTAACTTTTATTTAATTTCTAGAAAATGAATTATTAAATGATTTTTAATCCCGAACGAAAATCGGGGCGTTACACCATGGTTGCTATTGATACAACCGTTGCTCACATCAAAGATAAAATTGTCTAAGTTCTGGAATCCAATTCAGTCGCTTGCAACAATGATTTCAAACGACTGCCAAATGTGCATACGACCTCCGTTCTAGATTCATGAGTACTTGATAGAAAGCTTTTGAAGTCCTCTTTCCAATGAATCCAACCTTGTCCCCAAATTCCATCTCAGTCGACGACAACCAAAGAAACAAGGTGTTGTGTCACCAGTAATGGGCCTATGGACCTTTAACGTTGTCTGGGGAGCTCAGCCCAAGTGGGGTGCGCCCCAATCTGGTGGAGCACGACCCTAGGACCCTCTTGGTCGTCCAACCACCTCTTTAAATAGCTTGGTACCCCTTTAGGGTTTCTTGGGTTTTGTTTAGATTAAAGTTTAGCCATTTCTACTTGCTTGCAGCGCGTGTCGGCTAGACCGCACGTCTGTTTGTCTTCGAAACCCTAATTTATCATTTGTATTCAATTTCTATTTGCAATATCAGATTGATTTTATCTCGTTCTCTTGTTTGTTTGATTTTCTTGCAAGAATAAGGTTGATCTACATCAGCTAGATTAACAACCAACGAAGAGGTGTATCGATCGCTAAGGCGCAACACAACAACGTCTTGGACAGTTGTAGTCGGATCATTAACGTTTCTTCCAAATCATAATTATCATTAACTCACTGAAAGATCGGGCTAATCATAGCCGTGAGTGCCTCAAGTAGAACTCAGGGTTTATCATTACTTGTTATGATTTCATCAATCGCCACATATAACGTCCTAGTGTCTCGGACTAGTGCTCATAAGGGGAGGATTTGATTGTATGTTGCAGGAAGATGCTTAATGTGACTTCGTCAAGATATGTCAATCCAGATTCCAGACTCAAAGATGCTAGTAGAAGTAGCACATATAAGCATCCTCATTTGTGCTATGTTCAAGAAAAACTATCTAACAACAATGGCTTTTTTTAAATAAAACATGAATGGATTTTTTTTCTAGCATAAATGGTAACCCTGTACTGCCTTTTTTTTCCCCTAGAGCTCGGTACTCTGAGCACTTAAATGTCAATATATTTCTCAATTCGAAAATGACTTGAGTGATTGGTTTGAATGTCTTGGATCTTATTAGGAAACTGGACATCTGTAACAAGAAATTTAGATATGTGTATGAGGTGTTGCTCGTCAACTAGAACAAAATGCGCAATGGCTATGAAATAGACCCTCCGCCAGCCTTTGGCTTTACTCCTCCAAATGCATGAAGCAACATATAAATTATTTTTCTCCAATAAAGGCTGCAGTGATATTGCTTTCTGATCCATAATGATTGATGAACTAATTTTCTTGTCATAAACTCAATAATATTATTGTTTTACGGGTAGTATAAGGTTTGCTCATCTCCTCACCATAAACTCAGTATTATTGTTTTACGGGGTAGTATAAGGTTTGCTCAGTATTATCGAATTTGTACGCTGATGACCCCTCTCGCTAAACCGTGGTGCCTGTTCGCCTGGGAGTCCTCCTCGTCCGCCAACCTCGCCATCTACAAAAGGTACAAATCCCCTCATCCTCCCTCCCCACCACCATTTGCCCCTTTGCCACCTGATGCGCTCACCAGTTAGAGGCATAGTTATATTGCTCTTATTTTTCTTATAGAAATCGATGTCTTTTGCATCACGGATTCTTCTTTACGTCACGTATTGCATGCCCCTCTTATTAGTGTGCCCAATCTTGGAGGTACTTGCCAATTTTTGTTATTGTGGGATATAGACAAGGAAAACACTACATTAGGATTGTTGCTCATGATCTGCTTGGCAAAATGCCTCTAAGGTTATTACTTATTACTTCTGAAATTTTGAGTACCTTACTTTGTATATTTTTTTGACAGTATGTTAATTTGTATCTCCTAGTAACATAAGATTTTAATTTGATTATGTTAATTTGAAGATGGTGACATTTTAACTTTATTAGATTTCCTTGTATAAAGAAATAATTTTTGTTTAACACTATCATTGGTTCATTAATTTAATTTGTACTCCCTCTGCCCCCAAAATATAAGCATTTTTAAAACATTTTTACTTTGACTATTAATTAAAAAAATAAAAAATATCTATCATGTAAAATTGATGTTACTATATTTGTCATTAAACATAGTAGATCTCCATCCCATATTACTTGTCTTTTTAAGTTTTTGTTTGTCAATGTTTGATCATTCGTTTTATTCAAAAAAATTTAAAATTATTATTTATTTTGTTTATCATTTGCTTTATTATCAAAAGTACTTTACATATGACTTATCTTTTTTTTATATTTGCACTAATTTTTCAAATAAAATGAATGGTCAAACATTGTAAATAAAAAATCAAAAATGTCACCTATTATGGGACGAAGGGAGTAATATGCATTTCTTTTTATTTAAAATAGATATTGTTAGTTAAAGTAGTATCTCGAATACTATGTTAAAGTAAAAAAATGGGTATATTTTGGGATGGAGGGAGTACTTGTATGTGTAGCGTTAGCAAGAGGGGATTATAGTTGGGTTTAATTTGATGAGATATCCTCATCGTAACACCACCGCTGATTAAAAAGGGCGAAAAAGGCTAAAAGAAAGAGGGCAAGAAACGCAAGAGGGATCCAAGAAACGGGAGGAGGCGTCGACCAAGATTCGCCGCCCATGGCAACGCGCGCGCCGGCGACCGGATCCACGACCGTGACGGTGGACCCCTCCCCGTCCTCCTCCTCCTCCGCGCCGGCCTCGTCGGCTCCCCCGCCGGCGGCGGAGTCGGTGGTGCTGCGGCTGAAGCGGCGGCCGAAGAAGAAGGTGACCTGGAAGGAGGGGACGGTGGACAACGAGTCCCTCGGCCGCAAGAGCTCCAAGAAGTGCTGCATCTTCCACAAGGAGGTCCCCTTCGACGAGGATTGCAGCGACGACGAGCCCGACGGCGGCGGCGGCCGCCGGAGCCCTCCCGGGGACGCCGGCGAGGGGACAAGCGGCGGCGGCGGATGCTGCTCCTCGTCCTCCCATGGTCACGGCCACGGCCACGACCATTGATCTTTTTGATTGAATTGGTACGAATTGGTGAGTCTTGATGCTTATCTTTACTGATTAATTTGGTGAGGTAGATTTGGGGAAAACATATTTCTAGGTTGTGTTGCAATTTGCGGTTAAACATGTTTCAATCGGCAAATCAAATTTGTCGACACATTTCAGCTGCCATACATTTGATTTGTTCTCTGGTATTAATAGCTGTAATTATTCTAATATGAAGGTATAAGGACTGATTTGATGTTCAGTATTCTAGAAATTTTGAAGCCTCAATGATCAAACTCTTCTAACCTGCATGTGCAACTACTCCATATATATGTAAACATATTTTCACTAGTGAATTTGTTATGCTTGTGTTATTCCGTTACTGATCTTTATATGCTTGGTTGCAGTCAACTTATCGTGGAACTACGCATCAATGTGTGAAGTTATAACTTGAAGGGGAAAATTGCTTCTCTGTGCCGAAACAGTAGGTGAAATGATACTGCTTTGTTTTGTGTTGCGATTGTGGATGCTGTACTAGCTTTATTTTTGTGTGGCATTTGCAAGAGAGAAACGTTGTACCGTATAGCTGACTTTATTGTTGGTCATGTGCAATTCTCTTGAGATGTATGAAGTATTGCTCCTGTTGTTATTGTTACCATTCCATCGCATCAAATATCCTCTTGTTCTTTATTTTAATATGGTGAGTTGGTAGTTGTATTGTATTCACATTAATAGCAGTGTATTATGTGATGATGATGAAATACCTTGCCCCAAATTACTAAATTAGCACCCTTTTATCAACAGGTTGAGGTTTATTAGTTAACAAAATCATTTTGTCGAATTCAATTATTACTCACTATCAATCTCATCTTTTGGCTTATGCTTATGCTTATAAGCCAAATTTTAAATTTTCAACCTTAAATTTGTAGTTGATGTTGGGGGTTTTTTTTCATCGTAGTTTATTTTCCGGCCTTTGCTTTTGGATTGCTAAGAACACGTATATGAAAGTTTTATTTACAAATTATTTTCCGTTTGCAAATATGCCGTTTCGCTTACTCTGTCAATAAGCGAAACGATGGAGTCCTATGCCAGAAATCAAAATTCAGACATTTGTGGAATCAATTATTAAGTGCAAATGCAGCCATACAAATCATTTTTGTTCATTGACAACATCATAATACTAAACAATTCACAGATAGCTCTGAAGTTAGTTGTCACTTATCAGTTTAGTCGACAACAGTATGGAATTTGAAGGTTGCCTGTATTCAGTCTTAGCAGAGAGTGGATTCTGGTTGTGTTAGCGGAAGCAGATAAGGCCGTGAAGCTATTTTGTCTATTTACTAAAGGATGATTAGCTGTTTATCTTTGTCAGTATAAAACAATACATGGTATCAGTTTGATAAGTATTGTCAGTATAAAAGAATACATGGTATCAGGATGTTTAGTATGACTTGGAACTTGTCTGCGCCGGTGCTCCCGGTAAGCCGAAACATTTTTGATTGTCAAGCTTCGATCTGGTGGTATTGTGGTGACAATGGCTGCTATATTTTCAAGGGGGAATGTCTATCTTTCTATCGGCTGCTAAGATATTCTGGAGATTGCAGGAATTGTGTTTCAGTATGTTTGTTTAACTGGATGTAACAGAAGGTGTAAAGAGAAAAAAAATGACCAGTTAGCAAGCCACGCAGGGCTTGTGGTCGAGAATGACAACTGCACATGAATGTTAGAGTTTACCCTTATTTACTTGCAGCCTGTGCCGTTTTGTTGGTAATGACAATTGCACCTTGAGCTGTGACTTTTGATTACAGGTTTTTACTTTGTCTCTTGCTTGATCTGAGGATGCAACCTGCGTTGTCTTAAATCTGATGCTCGATGTTGTATTGCAATCAGGAGTTCTATATTTCTGTTTCATATAATGAACGAAACTGGCACTCCAGCAGCTTGTGGTTTTGTTTGCCAAGTACTGAAACCGAAGGATTCGAGATGAAGAAAATCTCTTTGAATGACGATGAGTAACAAGCTCTTTGAATCAATATGCATCATTTGAGAAAAACAAGCTCAATGACGATGAGTAACAGATCAGACGAAACAAAATTTAGTCTACCTGATTCCCTACAGTTTTATCCCTGGGTCTGAATCTTCTATACTGACAGGAAATGATGAATACATATATGATACATGAGAATCCATTAGCTCTCTAATCCTTTTAATCTTTGTTAAAACAGCTCTCCATGGTCTCCACGAACTTGGGCGTGATACGATCACCAGCAGCCAGCTTGTAATACTCAAACTTTGCTTCTTCACACTCCAACGCAGCCTTCTTGCAAGCCCTGATACTTCCTGAATGAAGCAAATGATATTGATGATTAGCTATGCTCCCAGGTCCCCATGGGCTATGGCTTTGCAAACATTTAGCTTGGAGAATGCAACAAACAAGAATAATGGCGGAAAAGTAGAGCCTCGATCATGCTAGAGTTAAAATGCTGGAAAACACAAGTAGTTTTGACAAACTGTAGTGTTCATGCCATCGTAAATTAAGAGAATGCATTTAGCAATGCTGGTAGCATATGAACTTCACCTTACACTGAAAATCAGGAATGGCCTGAATTCAGAAAATCAGGACTAGATTCATGTCTCACATGTTGCCACAATCCATTCTCCACCCACTACTAATCAAAATTTGTACTAAGATGTGCAGACAAAGTTTTTGTTGAAATATCTAAAAGCCCACTAATTCACTAATTCAAGGCACACACTAGGAATAAGTGGTTTATGGTGCGAAAACACATGTGAACGAATTTGGCAATGATATTCTCTAATTCCACTTCAAAAAAACTCTATACTGACACAGTGAGATGAGAATATGAAATTGTTGCTGAAATATTGAATTTCTTTTTGTTACAATGGTCATTGGTAGCAATTGAACAACAGAACCATGTGGAAGAACCAAATGGCATGAAACAATCAGCTGTAGACACTACAAACAATACAAATGTGGTTCAGTCACCCATAATCCACTCGCTGTTCAAATCCATTTTGATACAGAGATGCGCATATGAAGTTGTTGCTATAGTAGTACAATACAATGTGCAATTCAAAATCTTCTTTAAGTTGGTAGAATCAAAGAAAGGAACCAGGATCACATCATATTTAAGTTGCATGAATTCAGGTCTGACAGACAATAGGGTGGAGTAAATAAAGCAACACAGAATGGTCAGATAGACAGTTTTATAGCTGGGAATTGATTTCGCAAACTCAGGTAGCAGATCAGACGGTGAAATAAACTTATTCCAGAAATAAAACTAAGACTAAGACTACTTTCTTCGACCATGTATATAGGAAGTGATCTACTCACCACTCACATCCCGCAGATTGAATGAAACTGGGATTTTCCCAATGCTCCTCACCATGGTGATAGCAGCCCACACTTTCTGGTGATCTTCACGGGAAACTCGGATCACGCAAAGCTTCGTTATCGGATTTACATACTTCACTATAGATGAATAGAGCTCATAAATACCTCTAAATAAAGAAAAAAAATGCAAGCATCTATGACGTTGTCGGAAAACTGTAAGGAGGTTTTCGATGTAACAAGCACCAACCTTGCAACGACCCAAGACAAGCTGCTAGGCCACACTCCCCAAAGTTGATCTGGATGCTGTCTCTGATAGCTTTGGTACTATTGAGCTGGGTGAGAATGAGAGGGTCGGACTGGTCCTTGCCTGCCGTATCGATGAATGCCTCCATCACCATGTACCTATTCTTGAAATGAACCATAGCATAGACCAAGGCTCACTGCAGGCAGGGGTGGGCTTAGGATTTACAACTTGTGTATTCAAAATGAGAAGGGGTAAAAAAAAAAATCTACACCCTAAAGCCTAATCATTGGCTTGTATATAATCACACAATAGTAATTGCATAATACATTCATATATTGATAGAACTAGACATGTTGGCGCACTTGTGCGCCCTATCAAAGATTATAGTCATGCAGACTAATAAATACAGATGATAAATCCAACTCGAAACCAGAAAAAAACTGACAAAATGACCATACCAAAATTATTGCACAAGTATTTGTTCATATGGCATCAAATCAATCAAGCCAGTGATGATCAAGTATTGCCTTGACGACTAAAACAGAGCCAAATGACCAGTGGCATGGGACATGGGGGTTCAGTTGAACCCCCCCAAACCTTTTTGGGAACCATCAAACTGTTACTAGTATTAAGGTTTAAGGTAAATTTCTAGAACAGAAGCTAGGGTTAACGCAAATTCGAGAAAAAGTGCGTGGGTAGAGAGAGAGAGAGAGGTAGGTGAAAGAGGATGTGCGAGACGGATGCGGCGGAAGCAGCAGGACGAGCGACGGCGACCCAGCTCGCTCGCTCGCGCGATGGATGGGGATCAGCACAAGCGGTGGTGGTGGAGGATGTGCTCACCAGGATGGATGCGGCGGAAGCAGCAGGACGAACGACGAAGCCCTACTCGCTCGCGGGATGGATAGGGATCGGCGGAGGCCGAGGGCAAACTCAGGAATCAGGATGACTCGCACATCCCACCCGGATTGCTTGCACATCCCACCTCACCCTATACAAACGGTGGTATATGAAAATACAACTAATAATGCAAAATTTGCTACAGGACACCGAAAGATTATGATCTTTACTATGAGACACCCGAAGATCGTGTATTTGCTCGTGCACACTGTAAAAAAGTGGTAATGAGCTGCTGAACACTCCTCTCATTATTTTATTATTTTCTATCAAAATGGAGAGAGAAACTTTGGTTAAAGACAAATTTGCCCATGGGCTCACTTGTCAATCTCTCTTTCTCTGATGTTCTTCTTCCTCTCTTTCTCTCTGTTCATCTCTTCCTCTCTCTGTCGCAGGCTCGCGGCACACCGGGCAGAGCTCCACGGCGAAGGTGTGCCAGCAAGGACGACGAGGCGGCAACGTGCTTGGACGCGACGACCTGCAGTGGGTGACGGACTGCACGATGGCGCGGGCGCGGCGCGCGGGGTCGCCGCTCTTGAAGATGCCCGAGGCGACGAAGACGCCGTCGCAGCCGAGCTGCATCATGAGGGCGGCATCGGCGGGTGTGGCGACGCCGCCGGCCGCGAACTGCACGACGGGGAGGCGGCCCAGCTGCTTGGTCTGCATGACGAGGTTGTAGGGCGCGGCGATGCGCTTGGCGTAGGCGAAGACCTCGTCGTCGTCCATGTTGCGGAGCGCGTGGATTTCGCCCATGACGGAGCGCACGTGGCCGACGGCCTCGACGACGTTGCCAGTGCCTCACAGACGCGGTGCGCGACTTCCTCGATGACGCCGATGACGTGCTGTTCGGGCAGCTCGCGGCGGAGCACGCGACGAGGCGGCGGCGTGCTTGGACGCGATGACATGGGCGGGCCACGGCGAGGTGACGAGGTCAACGAGGCGGGTGGCGTGGGAGGCTGGGAGCGCGACGCGAAGAAGTCGAGCCCGCCGCCGCCGCCGCGCACCGCGCCGACGCGGAGAGCGTCGCCGGCGGCACCGTGGGCGATGCACCGCCGCCGCCGCCCCGCCGTGGCTGAGCCGTCCCGGCTCGGGCCGGCTGCCGTCGCCTTCTGCTCAGTGTGAAGAAGAAGAAGAAGGGGAAAATAAAAGAAGTGAGAGGAAGAACACTGTACAGGGGCATTTTAGTACTTACATAACTCTTTCTCTCTTCATTTCAACCAGAAATAATAAAATAATGGGAGGAGTGTCCAGCAACTAATTACCACTTTTTTACAATGTCCACGAGCAAATACACGATCTTCGGGTGTCTCATAGCAAAGACTGCAATCTTTCGGTGTCCTGTAGCAAATTTTACCTTATAATATCTAGCACTGCTATTCTAATCCTGTCCTATTCATATCCTATATAGTTATATAGTTTATCCTTACTTTAATGCTATTTATCTCTTATCTCATTAAGCCACATCACTCTAATTATTTCTAACCTTTGGATGATAGATCTATGGTTCAATTTGTCTCTTCTTTCTTCTCTCATAATATCATGCAATCTCAATTATTTTAGGCTCAAAATTCATAAGTATCAAATTATTTTAGTTTTAATAATCATGTTGCATATTATTTGTACATATTTAATTTCCCGCAGCAATACGACGAGGTATTTATCTAGTTTTCCAAATAAAGCCCCCTAGGTTGGACCTTTGAGATGGTGGATTTTTATTTCTCTTTTTCGTATAAGGTTAAGATGATAGATAAATAATAGGTATGTTTGGGCATAGGCCGTGCCGTGTCGGCCTACGTGCTGAGGTTGGAACCCATGCACGACCCAGTGAGATATCGGGTCATGTCATGTTGGCCTGGCAAGATTTGGCTACGTGGGCTGTGCAGAGGCCAGTTAGCCCAAATTTGTTATATACCAAGAAAAAAAATGCGAATAGTATGTTGCATCCTGCTGCACAAACTTTAGTGAAGCTTTAGTGAGGTCCTCCGCTCACTGATAGCACATTCCACATCCTCCTCATCAAGCAGCGTCGTAGCCCTTCACTTCCTACTTCCTTCGTCTTGAGCCGGTGAGTCCACAATGACCAAAATGCTTAGTGGTTGTCCTCATGAATAGGGTGAGCGGTTGGCTACACTACAACGCTACCGTGCATACCTACATCGACGAGCGTCCTCCATCGCTTCCTCTGCCCTTGAGCCCCTGGCTTCCTTGATTCTTCCGTTCTTCTTTCCTTCTGGCTCCTGCTCAGATGGCAGTTGCTCGAGTCATCGGTCGTCATCATGCCGCATGGAGCAAATTGTGTGCTATTCCTGGACCATGTCGTGCTGGCTCGCTACATGCACTTGTCATGTTAGCATGTTGGGTGGTAGCAACCCAAACATGGCGTGGCTAGACGGGCCATGCCAGCACGATCCACAGCCAAATAGATCATGTTTTTCCTGAGCTGTGAGCTGCACATGCGTACTCGGACAGACACGGAAGGACCCAACCTATTTGACAACCTATAGGAGAATTTGGTAAATTCATAGGCATTATTATGTTTGTACAGATGGGATCAATTAAGACACCTCAGTTGCAACTAATTAATTTGTTTAGTGTCAAATTAAAGCTGTAATAGTGATTACACTCCAGCCAACCAGAAAAATAACACACCATTTTCCCAAAATAACATGTAAGCATGATATAATCTAGAAAACATATCCATTTTATTCTTGTTTTTATTAGCTCAATTTCAAGTTGTGTTGTCTAAGACAAAATTTATTTCAATATGCAGAATGAGGATAAACCGATCTCATGGGGATATACACATTTTCGTTGCTTATCTCATTGGTGAAAAGGAATATATTTTCTCACTAAATCAACACTTGTTAAGAGTTGATACGTCATAAAAAAATTAAGGGCCATCCGATTTCTGCTCTTGAAGTTTTAGGCCATTGGATTCTCTGAATGGTGAAATATCTTTTTCGCCCCTAAGGAAACTGCTATCAATTTCTAATGTAAGAAATGAAATGAGTTCACTATAACAATTATAATAAAATCGGTATATGATTCCTGTAACTTGCTATAGATTCTCCTATATAGTACATTAGATTCCTGTATACCTCGTTCTTTCATAAGAAACACATGCATGCTAGTAGAAAAACAGATATAATCCATCCATTCCAAAAAAAAAAAAGGCAATGTGACCCATTCAGAGGATTCACCAGTGGCATTTTTACCCTTTTTCTGCATCCAACCATATATACGGCTATCAAAATAGGGAACTTAGCCCCACAAACAATCAAATCTAAATTTTGTTCCTATGGAGATTTGAACTCAAGACCTTGAGATATTACTTAGGTCATTGTAACAACTAGGCTACGTTCCCTTTCCTGGCAGCCCTCTATGCACACCTCAGAAGGCCATTGAAATGCTTCGCTCACAAGAACACCTGCAGAGGCAACTTCTGCTATTCAAACACTCTTTTAAGATCATCAAGAATGTGATAGAGCACCCACATGATATCAAGTACAGGAGACTGCGTAAGGTATGCTTGGCTGTTCTTATGCTCTTTTATTAGGTTCCTTTGGTCCACTAAAATAAATTCTTACTGATCCTAATTTTTCAAATATGCAGTCCAATCCACAGTTCCAAAGGAGTGTGGCGAGCTACAAAGGTCTCTATCTCTTATTCCTAGATACTCCCTCCATCCACAACAAAAGTTACACCTATTTCACATTTGAGTTTTTCCAAATAAATTATTCCTATTTGTAGTCTTTATACATTTAAGACTTAAATGAAAAGATAAATTAAATGTTTTATTAGAATCCAAGAAATTATCTAAATACTCATCCTTGATTGATTTTGTAACATCCAAGGTGATTTAATTTCTCCTTAGTCTTGGTGTCAAAAGTAATATGTGTAACTTTTATGGATAGAGGGAGTGGTTGATACCCACTTCAGAGCATTAACACTAAAGCTGTAAAATCGTGAGGCCACGTCATCTGAAATGGTGAGCCGTCCGATCTGAACGTTCCACGCCATTCGATCTGAACGTTCCAAATTCCAAGCTCCATGTTCAGTTGCCGATCAAGCCTGGCCCAAATTACCCGGCTAGAACAGCCCATCCAGTCCCCATTAGCTGCCATCCTCTCACCGAGCATTGCACGGCCGAGTAACCGTGCATGGTGGTGGCAAGAGCAATTGATTCTAATGGATGCCATCATTTTCTTTTTTAAAACCGATGTTATCATGATGGGGCAGATAAGGGGTTACTCCTAATGGATTATTAATTTCCCCTATTCTCTTCGTATCCCCTCTTTCGATACTGCCAATAAATTTACATAATCCTTAGAGCAAGTTTAATAGTTTAATAGTATAGCCAACTACTAACTCTAATCATCTATAGCCAATCTAATAGCTCATTTGTATAATAGTTACATACTACACTATTAATACTTGATCTCACCTGTCATACACACATTGTGTCTTGGAGTCCGTGCTATAGCTGGCTACAAATCTGTAGCCCGCTGCTCTTCTCTCTCCTTATTTATTTTCTTAAAATATATTTGCAGCTGACTTATAGCTTGCTATTGTACTGCTCTTATGCGTCAATATAATAGGGCCAATGGTGTTCCATTTCTGTTGCTGGAGTTTGCTCGCTGGAATCATAAGCATCCCTACGCCATCATCTTCTTTAATCACTCCAGCAAGCTAGCATAGGCTATATTAGCCATCAACTTCCTCTTTCCTTTTGGTAAATTGATCTGATTTTTTTTCTGACCACATTTCAGTTCTTACATGTATTTCAATGTGTAAGCATGCTCCATACATAATTGTAATTGCATTAGTTTTCCAGTTTGGCTATCTCGCATTTTGTTACACCAGTTTTACCATATCAATTCCTTCTTTTTACTCTGCATCCCCATTCGTTTTCACATGATTTTAGATACTAGGTTACTGACTTGGTTAATTTCTTTTGGTTGTCCCGAATCACACATCATTTTTCATTACTGCAGTTGAAGCATGTAGGAAACAATATCATCTAGACCTACATATTCAGATCTAATATGTATTTCAATTATGACCTTTACCTGGTGAAGTTATCTTAATTAGTATAT